GAGAGAGAGAGAGAGAGAGAGAGAGAGAGAGAGAGAAAGAAAGAGAGAGAGAGAGAGAGAGAGGTGGTGAATGACAAAATCGAAATATGGGTCAAATTGCGGCCTCGATCTATTTCACAGTTGGAATGAATCTTTAATTTATTGAGCGTTTTTTTGGGGAGATCACAACAAAATCTACGAGTACTCAAATTTTCAGTTTTTTCCACGCATTCTTCTGAGTGCGAAAACTCACTGGATTTGGAGTACTTTTTTATTTGGCCCACACATTGTTGAGTGGCAAAAATGGAAAATGTGCTGAATCAGCGCGAATATTATTTTGCAGTTGAAATGATTTTTTGAAAATGCTCTAATATAACTAAAGGAAAGAACACGACCTCATCTATGGATTCTCAAAATTTCAGATTTTTGTGCGGGTTCGTCCGATCACAGAAAATCGCCAAAGTTGCCTCTTGCAAAACGTCAGTTCCGTTGCGTCTGACCTCCCTGTTTTGAGGAGATGGGCTGTGACGCCCAACCTCACGCCCAACGCGACTTCCTGATCGGAGTGGGATGTGGGCCTTGAAGTGCGAAAAGGGGTGTGCCAAGGATTTTGGGGGAAAGTGGCATCCCGGGTCAGAACTGAGATCTCCTGTGACAGGGTCTTTCGGGGGCACGAGTGCAATTTGGCCAAGAGGGCGTTTTCGGGTTACAAGCGTGGTTCGCTCAGGACCAAGCGAGCCATTGGTTTCGGGGACGGCGGTTCAGGGGTTCGTCCCTTCGGGGTAGGTGGGGTTCCGATGAGTTCGTCTGTCGGGAGTTGCCACGTGGCGCTGGTCGTCTCACGTGCGGGCTAGGCCTTCGGAACTCCGGGGTTCTTTGGTCGCCGCGCCGTCCGCAGTTCCCGCAGGGTGTGCTGGGCCAGTAGGGGGCTATGGCCGGCCACGGAATGACGCTGAGTTGATGGTACGAAAGAAGAAGGCGAAAGGGAGGGAAAATGGTGGTGATGACGACAAATCCCGGGTGGATGAAGTAGTAGGTATGGTCAGGAGAAGGGAAATCAGAGCACCGGGGGTCGCTAGAGGTGGCGCAGTGGAATTCCCGAGGACATAATCGATTCTCGGTGTGGCAGGGATATCGCTGCCTTAGGATCAAGTTTATCCAAGGGGTGAAATAATCCGGGTCGTAGGATGAGTCATAATTCGAGGATCGCGTCATCGTGTCATTGCGATGTTATGGGCTACCTAAGGATGGGTCCGCGACGCGGCGATCGCGGTCACTGTGTACGAGCACGTCCAGGCCGCGCGAATGGCGTCGGACTTGTGCGTGCTCGTGCAGGACGATTGCGCCGTTGCGGATTTCAAGATGGTCACTCTCAATCAGACCGATTGAGGGCCCCGATGAGTCGACGCCCGAGGATACGTGTAAGTGCGCAGCTCAGATCGCGTTTTACACGTGTCCTCGCTCGGCGTTCACCGAGCCCGGTATCCGACCTCCTAATCACTTCGTGATGTTCTGAGTTATGCAAGATGCAATGATCACAAAACAGCTCGATCCAAGGACAAGCAAGCACACGGGCAGAATCATCACTTGCGCAAAATTCCTAGTTTATACACGGGTGCATAGACTACGACGGACAAAAGAAAAGACAAGAGATTTCCCGCAAAAGGTAACAAGCAAGTATAGCCTCCATACATTCGTATCCGCAGTAATCATACACACGAGGCCTCAAAGGCGAGGAC